GGAAGTGTTCCACTGTTTTTAAAGTCCACTTCACTAGTATCAGTTGGATCATTTCAACCCTGGAATTTCCAATCTCTTTTGAACTAAAGATAAAAGGGAGCTGTTAATACTAAAACTACCATTTCATGACATTACAAAGTGGAACAGAGCATGTTGAGCTTTGGAGATAAAGACAGACTAATAATAAAGGGTTACTCAAACGTGTGTGAATGAAACAAAACACAACTGCAGGTCTGTTTTTGAGGAGGAAACAACATTATAACATGGCTTAAAGCTCACAAGAGTTAATTTTGTGTAAAATAGGACTTTTAAAACATGCCCAGAGACTGTGACATTGAATTTACTTTTACTAGTAAAAGAAGACAAAAGGTAAAAACTGTGTTTGTTGTTTGATGGATAACCACAAACTCTTGTACAGTAGAAGTTCCTTTTTAAAACATCTGATTTATGATTGCACTGTAGATGCTCATATGTGGTCCACATGCACCCATCAAAGAAACAGATAAAAGTATTTTGATGGCAACATTCACATGCTTCCAATATGTTCTAAAAATAAACACTTTTATTGTTGGGTTTGAAGTTGAAATAAATAATTGCGTGTCTTCTATACACTTACAATTGCAATAAAAGAGATATGGCCTTTATGAAACATTGAAAATACCCCTGGAAACATTGAGAGTTGGGAATTTTCAAGATTACCACTAAAAAGATGAATAAAAACATAATCCAAAAATTCTATACATCTGTCTGTCCCTCCATCCATCAACCCATCAATTTATCTCAGTATTTTTGTCAGATTATTTAGCATGCATTTAACTTTTTATAGATGACTGTTGTTTTAGTTATTCCCCTGTCACAAGTAAACTGACAATAGCAGGATACAGATGTAAAAAATATGTAAATCAACATGGCCGTACAAACTAGTTCCTGTGGAGTATTAGTAGTTTTCAGAATATAGAATGTGATAACAGGGGCAAGAGCCAGTGTTTCCTATTAAATACATGTACTTTGCCATGAAATATCCACAAGATAAATTCATAAATGTTGAACCTGGTCATTTTTATCAGTGACTAGACACCAGAACTCACTGTATTACAACAAAAATCTGCATTCCAACTGTATTTACTTTAGCTTCCCCGCATCAGTATTAAACATGACTAAACTGTGATGTCATCTGAAACCCAGCATAGACATAGCAGCAACACACGGGGAGGCAAACTGCTCTGGGACATGGATGAAGATGTCACTGTTTAAAACCACACCACCACGGCCAATCGGTTGACACTCCCTGGCCCCCACTAATCGTGCGCTAATTGAGTGTCACATGCGTAGTGTTGTACAAGGAGCGCAGTAATTCAATCAAGGAGATATGATTAAGAGATGAGGGGAGGCCAAATGAAGTCATAGACACATAGAGCTGTGCTGGACTATGAACTCATTCGATCCAACTCAAACTTAGGCAAATAGAAACTCACCACAGATCATCGCTATGTCAGGGCTATAGCAACCAGAAGGGGTAAGGGAAAACCTGTTTGTTCAGTTACATGTAGGTAAACAACAGCATGAAGAGGTAGTCAAATGATGTACTGTAAGTATTATTCATGAAACTCAATACACTTATATGTGTAATAAATACAACTTAATTAGTCTTAATAAAGGGGAAACAATCAGTATATTAATAATGATTTTGACTTAATAGTTTCTTAATTAAGGGGCTAGAAAAGGGGTGTCCTAATGCAGTACTTTTTACTTTTCTGAGCTGATCCACTTGATCTTAGGCAATAATTTTTACACCAAATGCAAGTAACTGTGTATTGTGATCAGACATAGTATTGATGTTAGGTGCTGTCAAAACTATAAAATGCACCCATCTGAATGATTCACTATTGGGCCCTTCTGTTTGAATATGTTTCAAGATTTGGACATCAGTGAAAAAAAGTTTGGAAGTTGTTGTGTTAGAAATTATAGTATTTATTAATTAATTAATTAATTAAGGCCTAATAAGGGGTTTGAATTTGGAGTTAGGGTAAGATAGGTTCATTTGTTCATCATGTATCAAGTATTATTATCAAAATGGCTAATTACATGTAGTTATGATTGTGGTCGTTGCCTGATTTAACTGCACTTTAACTGGTCACTGAGCCTTTTTACAAATCTATGACAATTAAAAACCAATATATTCATTAGCTTTAGACTGTGCACTGTCCCTTTAACTCACATACCCGTCTTGACTACTAAACTCATTTGTTTCATTCCAGAAGCAGTGGGGAATGCCTTAAATGTCCTCACTGAAATAAATGGGGGGGAGTTAGTTCTAGAAAGTGACTGAAAGGAGAGGCACAGCCAAGTTCAGGACAAATTAAACATTTTTTTGTGAGTGCCCGGGCAATGCGAGCTGAGCCAGGAGCAGAGATACGCACGTAGACACATTGAGGGCAGTGTCAGTGAGGGACTTAATACAGAAAGGGCAGAGAATATACTGTTTTGTTGATGTGCATTTAAGGTCATAGTCTTCCTCAGTCCTCTCCCTGGTTCACTCTGCTACCTGGAGACCGACAACCTCTCCCTCAGCCAATCAGACACTCCAGAACACCGTCTACTGTTTCCTGATTGGCCAGAGGCATCCAGGAACTCGTTCCACCATCAATGGCGTGTCATTGGGTCGTCTGGCAATGCTGAAGCCAATTATACTGCCCCCTCCCCTTTCTTTGTTAAGATCTTCTTTTATTCTGGCTGCTGCAGACCCCCTTCACGCTCATAAGGGCAGACACACACACATAGACGTGCATACAAATCTAGTCTCAATGTGTCAACAACAGGCTAAAGGAGTCTGGGAAAGCAGGAGGACTGACGCGCTTTGTAATAAGAAGACATGGAGGAGACCCCCCACTAAAGACCAAATGTAGCCTTCACACATACAAATATAATGACAAGTGTTATTCCATGGAAATCATGGGTTTATGAGTCATACTTTTACCTCAGCAGTTACGTCACGGTTTAGGTTTAAACAACAGCTACACTGACCACCATTCATGTATTACGTGCTAAAAAACAACAGGAAGCAGTGTAGTTAATATAATAACGACAGATTAAAAAAGACTGACACAGACATTGTGTATTGGGTATTGAGCATTCATCCTCCTTCAATCAGTTGAAAAAATCTACCTTGTTTTAGCCTTTATATGTAATTACTATTTCTACAGTCTGTTGAATTTCTCATCTTGTTTTGGATCAGTTTTGTTATGTTATTTGTGTTTTTGAACAATGCAAAGCTTTTGTATCTCAATTTCTGTTGGTGTCCCTGCTTATCTTCATAATAAATAAGTTTAATGGCACACTGTGGAAACTTTTAAATAACATAACAATCTTTCCAATGAAGAAACAAATCATGGTCTACCAGAAAGGCTCTACCTTTGAGGATCTTAATGCCACTATCTGGTATCTGTTGATACTGCATATTGGCAGATTATACAGCCAAAGTATCAAAGTATGGATACCAGCAGGAATGATCTCCTATTACTGCTCCCATCACATGCCACATGCATTTTCACATGATTCTTTTCAGTTTAAACAAAGTTCAAAGGGAAAACAAAGAGCCCTTGAGTTTGTCTTCAGTTCACACATGACCAGGATGTACACATTTACATTTGTGTACCACAGAGTCAACTCAGACTGGATCACTGTACACACGCACACACACACACACACACACACTAATGCAAATCTCCTCAATAAACCCACACAAGAGGCTTTTACATGCATGCAACTCAGACCTGCTCCAAACCTACACCATTCAGAACACTCCACTCCTCCTTATCCAGGTTGTGGACCATGGGAGAAGTAAGAATGTTGCTCAAAAATGTGTTATATTACAATTGTATGACTATTATCTTGGTGGTTTAATTTTAAATACATTTTGTAGTTCTCCAGATTGCTGAGATATCATCAACATTATCCTGTCCTGGTTAATTTCCTTATGTTTGTTTGCCCGACAAACTTTGAGGATGTTTGTGTTTGTGTTTTTACTGCAAGACAAAAAACTTTTTTCTGGTAGAGGGTTTGTCAGATACTAGTACAATACAAGTTACAGGTCAGATCTGTGGGAAGGCCACTGCACTCACAGTCAGAATGCTTGTTTTTCTAGGTACTTTTTGAGCTATAAAACCACCTGTAATTATAATAAATGTAAGGTAGAGCTGATTAATGTCATACTGTGGAACATTCCAGACAGATTCCAGACATCTCCATAGGAACAAGGTGACAGACTGCCAACCAAAAAGTTAAATAGTGCACCTTTAACTGTCACTTTTATCTGTGAATCATCACAGTACCAAGAACGTATGGCCAAAATATAGTTTTTTTCTTACAGATTAGCACAGAATTTATGCCTTGTTAGATATGTCTATGTAATCCCTCTGCCATCCAGGCATGGCCATGTTAGATATTGTAACATGTGTGAATATGTATTAGCCAGTGCATATGATTGATGCTCAACTTCCGATTTGAATAAAGAACAGATGGAAGGTCTCAGTGTGCATCGTCTGTGGGCAGATGAAAATATCTTTGGAATGATTTAAAGGTGGAAAGAAACATCTACGAGCCAAAATGTGTTCTCCAGATATCCGCATATTGACTATGTAAGACTCTTTATACAATACTCACTAAAGGCCAAGGCAAACTCCAGAAGCCTACAAATCTTAATCAGAAGTGGAAAATATTCTTACATAACTTGGAATCGAGTTAACTGGGAATGGAAGCTGGAAAATCTTTATGAAATTCATTAATTCCACTGTTTACTTGTGCCCTTTGGCTGCAAGTTTATCTTTAGCCGGAGTAAAGAGTTAGAGTTTTAACAGTACTACATGTTTGCACCAGTGAAATGGAGCTGAGGGGTTAAAAACTTGCACTAAAGGAATGTCCCTGGCCTACGTTCAACCGAATTAATAAACAAAAAGACATCAGTGTTGTTTATAGGCACCAAAAACGACTCAATAACATGATTAAATTAGTTAAGACTTTTAATAGCTCTGTGTAGCAACCAGCATGTGCATTACTCCATATACATTAAGCAATTTTCCAAAAAAAAAAAAAAGATCTATTCAAATACAATAAAATACTCAACTGTAAAAATTCACATAGAAAACATCTTAAAAATTAACAAAAAGGAATGTCCAAGTTGTTTCCAGTGAAGTCCATATTCATCAATCGTTTTTAGTTACAGTTGTAAAGCATGCCCAGAATAGCACAAGAGTAAAGTGTGCCTCACAGTGCTCCAGCATAGGCACAGCAGAGTACATGGGAGTTTATGGTTTGGTTGGGTGCAACCAATTTCTCTTACAAGTTCCCCAAGTATGAAAATGGAAACTTGTAAAACTAACATGCCAACATCATGTGACTTAAAATTAAAGGTGCCTTGTGTAACTTTTCTGTTGGAGGCTTTCTGTCTTCTTGGAGAAGAGGTGGGTGACCCCACTAACACTCAATGCCTGTTTTTCTAGGTATTTTTGAGCTATAAAACAATCTGTAATTGAATAAGTCAGAGCTTTTAATGTCAGACTGAGGAACATTTCAGGCACAGTAATGATGAATCCATACAAAAAGGGTGACGGACCCCCAACCAAAAAGTTACACAGTGCACCTTCAAGCATGTGACATTGTTTTGTGTAAATGTAAGTGCAAGTTTTGTTGGCAGATATTACAAGCTAAGGAAGGTCTTTGATATGTTTATGCTTGAAATCGGGAGCTAGACATGGACCACAAAAGTCCACCCAGTGCTATTTAAACATTTAAACAGTGTGCCTGGGTTAAACACATTCATTTTTGCATAGGAGAAGGCAGCGAACGTGACCATTACATTAAGAGATTTAGAAGTAAACATGTCAACGTTGATATATGTTGATCATGGAGAAGGTCAGACATCAGCAACCAGCACAGCACATTGAGGATTTTTAAGATTTTGAGTGCACAAAAAACATTTAGAGAAATAGACCTGTCTCCACAGTTTTCAGGCAGTCTCAAGTGTGCAACATTACCACAGAGCCGCTTGGGAAACCTAACATTCAAGACAGCATCCATACCTCTCTGTACAGTAATGAGACGCTGACATAGACAAACTTTATGTGCGCACAAGTCATTTTAGTGGCTTATTTTACACAGTCAGAGACACAGACACAGGAATGCAGTTGGGTAGCTACAAACGCCCTTTTAAATGCTATTTGGTTAAGTCTCCCTTTTCCAAACAACTGTACTTCCTTTTCCCTTTTAAGGTTTATACCAAATGAATTAAAGTTTGTCTCATTAAAAAACAAAGTGGTTTTAAATTTATCAACATATGTGTTTTGATGTGCCCTTAGAAATAACCCATAGAGACCAGTGTAACAAAAGCACTTTTGAAACACCTGAGTGAAACTAATATAAACTTTTCTTGGTTGGCACCATGCTACAGTAAAATAAACTGTGTCTTATGAATATGTATGAACAGTCTTGGTCGATAGTTTAAAACAGAGGCTAGAATGGATCAAAATGCAGCTCTTGGCTAAAATACAGAAAGTGAAATGTCAAGAAGGCTGTCTTTGGATGTGTCCAAAATGCCTTTTTAAATTCAAAACTAAATAATTACAGAGATGGTCGACAGAACAAAAGAAATTCAAATTAAAGTGTGAAATTGGCATACTCATTCTGGCCACATTATTCAGTAAACCTGTTAAGAATAGATAATATGTTACAATCCAATAAAACAACCAATGTGTTTCTTCAAGAGACATTTGAAAGAAAAATAAGTTGGTAACAGTGACTTCTACTAACGTGACGTGATAGCACTTTATAATAACTGGACCTTAATTAGCCACTGACAGTGTTCTTTAGCCTTAATAAAGACACCTAGTTTAAGAATGATTCAGGCGTAGTGACTCCTTAATGAAGGGGTTAGGGTTTTCATGAAATAGTTACTAAGCCTGGATCAGTCTTAATAAAGTATTTGCTCATTATGAATTAAGTCTTTATGTTTTATCAAGGCTGATTAAAGTGTAGTTACTATAATAACTAACTAATTCAGTGTTATCACTGATGTTTAGGGACTGGAAAAATGCATATATGAAGTGAGTTGGATTTTTGAAGATGCTAAAATTTTAAGAAATGCCAAACTAGAACATGTCTCCATGCACTGAGTTGCTGTCTTGTGATACAAAATAAATAACAAGTGCAACTAATCAAGTCATCGGTGTGTTTATTTCTAGTCAAAATTTGGTTTCCCAACACAAAACCGTTCTCTACTCAGTATATTATTGGCCCCTGTAATAGCTATATGTACTTGAAAGCCCTGTCCATGTCATCAAATTTTAATTGGATCGAGAAGGGACCGCCTCCAGAATATCCTCTAAAGATTCAGACGATTCAACGTTTGACTCCTCTGGGTCTTCTAGCCGTTGTTTTTTCACTGTGGATTTGCTTGGCGTGGGCGTGTCTTCCTGCATCAGCTCCTTGGCCAGGATGTTAGTCACTGCATGGCCAGCTCTTCTGTGGTTGGCTAGGGAAAAACCACAACAAATTATTGGTAATGTCTTTGATATGAGTAAACAAAATACGTCAATATTGTCACTGCTTGCCAAGAGTAACATATTGACATCTCATTCCCATGCAAAATCAACTACATTAGTTGATTAACCAGCATCAGCCTCAACCATGGACACTTAATGCAAACTCCATGCATTTAACATCCAGATGACTTTATATCTGTGGTGTGTGTGTGTATGTGTGTGTGTGTGTATATATGTATATGTATATGTATATGTGCATCTGTGTGGATTAATGTGAAATCTAGACCAAGTCACTACTCATGTCAGATTAGACCTGCTCTGCCCTGATCTTCATAGAGAGTCAAACAGAGTAAATGCAAAGAAGGGTGTGGCGTTAAGGTCAAATGGAGAAATAAGAGGATGGTAAAAGTAATGGGAAACTATGTAGGATCAGGGATACTATGAATCATGCTGTGGGAAGATTGGGTAAGCTTAATCAGAATGTGGCTGACATGGATAGAGAGAGAAAGAGAGAGAAAAAAAGAGGATTTGAAAAACAAAAGTGTGTGACAGTGTGTGCCCTCAGGTTGCTGTTCTAATACAGTTCTACCTCTTTCAGTGATGCTCACTCTCCTCCTACGCTACATCCACCTCCCTCCCTCTCTCTTTAGTGAGCTTCATTTTGCGGTGTGCAAGGACAGCTGTGCCGCAGCCGCCATTTTGAATTATATAGGTCAGTGGGAGATTGTATTTGTGTGTTCACTCTTATCCTGCTAGATGTTAAGAACTCTTGAGACGTGCAGCTGTGACATGAATAAATCATGAATATAAAACATACATGATGCAAATAATTAAAATCACACACATTTAGAATGTGTGAGTAACAACAAAGAAAACACATTCTGTATTCACATAATGTAAAATCAGTAATGACACATGCAAATGAGCCACACAGACACAACCATGAAACCACTCAGTTTTGTTAAAGATGCACTACGTAACTTTTCTGGTGGTAGGTATGCTACATGCTTGTTTCAATGGAGACAGTGATTTCCCTGGAATGTTCCACAGTATGAAATTAAACATATCAATAAGCAGGTGGCTCCACTAGGTCAAGTTATAGATTATTTACTTTGACCAACACCTGTAATAAAATAAATGTAAGATGGACACATTTAATGTCATTGTGTGGAACATTCCAGGCAAAATAAAAATATATCCATGGAGACAAGTAAGTGGCATATTATGCTCCAGATAAGCTACAGTGTGGTGCACCTTAAAAATATTTTCAAAATACACATGGTGCCACAAAAGGCCATGTCCACACCTGCATGCTTTCATTTAAGTAGTGAACTGGTAATAATAGCATATCTGCATTACAGTACGTTATATGAATTACAATAAAACAAATATAAATCATGCAAATTGAAAATTCTAAAAACACCAATTCTATCCTCATTCTAGACATTATTGGTAGCTCAGTGAAAACAAACTGGTGTGGATGTAGCCAAAGTTACCGATCAGGTCTCCAGAATTAGCTGTGACAAAGAGACAATAGAGTCTGGGGAGAGAGGGGAGAGGCAGATTAAGAGTTCACAACTTAACAGGTGTCTATGAAAGGAGCCCAGCACAATGTGTCACATTATCACTTCAACACACTTACTCAGTCCACTGTTCAACACCTCTCCTACTTTTCATTCCAAATTTAGACAGAAACTAATTACAAGTTATGTAATGACCTATAAATTCACAGTATTTATAGCAGTGGTTCTCAACCTGTAGGTTTGGGCAGCCCTGGGGGTTGCAAAATAATTTCAGGGTCTGTAGATGATACTGGAAAAAAAGATTTAAATGTATACTAGTCTTTAACCCTTCAAATGTGATGCATGTAGATTCTAATTGTTAGGCCTAGATACATTAATTTGGTAGGCTGTGTCCTGAAAATAAAACGGTTAGACATAAGGCTACTTTAGCATTTTGCAGGTAGGATTTTTTTGTTTTGTTTTGTTTGGGAGTCATGAAAAGCCAGCTGGTGTTATTATGGGGCTTGTGACTGAAAAAGGTTGAGAACTACTGATTTATAGTACAGTGACAGGCAACAATTCAAAAAACAATTCACAAAAGAAAATGTTGAAACCATTGTCCTGGTAATAAGACAACAGCAACACAGCTAGGACATGAGAAAAGACATTTAAGTACAAGCATTTTGACCAGGCATGAATAAAACATTGATAGTTAATGGCTACATCAAAATCAATATTTAAGCTTGAAGGAAGCAGTAAGTACTAGTGTTTGCTAAGAATAACTCCTGAGTAGTTATTCTAATGGGTTTAAGACTATAGGTGTGGGATGTCTTAATATATTTAAGAGAAATATTATGTTTGTCTGAGAGAGTTGTAGCATGTTTTATAGATAGAACAAGGATTTGCAAAGCTTATTTTGCAAATCTAACTTCATTACACACAGACACAAGTACAGCATGGTGATATTGTTTGGAACACCCCAGGGAATCTATTTCAGGAAGGGTCTTAGAGGTTAAAGTTTATATATCTATGACAAGATTCAAGGAGGAATATGTGGACAGTTAAGCAGAATTGTGTAGCTATGTTTTGGGTGACTTCTGGCAAGATGGACACAAATTCAGAGTCTTGGCCATAACACCCGTTACTGTTGAGACTGGACAGGGTGGCAGCCATGTTTGTTGGTATTAGAAATAGCTACTGTATAGAACAGGTACAACATAATGGAGGGTTTGAACACTGAAAGTGTGCTCAGTTTAGCAGAGACTAGTATCGCCATCCTCAGGCTACACTGTAAAACTGCAGCTGTGCACCCGAGCACTGTGGGAAAGGCTGACGTCACCCTGCTCTTCTATTGGCTGAGTGGTGGCATCTCTGTTCTGTCTTTATTGTGTCCATTGCATTAATTGTTTATGGAGCTGGTAATGGTGTGATTGATGTGGCCTGTGGGTGTGAACATCTGTGGGAGCACTTCTATGTTTCAGACTTTTTCTTCAGAGCAGACGGGGAGCAGAGCAGCGTGTGCCTCTTTTGTTACTCTCTCTTTTATTTCAGAGCCCTGTTGTGATTGGAGCTTTGTCCACCAGTTGCTACTGTGATTGGTGGTTTTAGTGGAGGTCATGACCCAGCAGATGGGTCTATTGCCAGTCTACAGCATGGCATGCCTCCACACAGACACATGTGGCCTCAAAGGATGCATTGTGCCCAATCAGGCTAATTGATCCACACCATTAAAGGGTTTAAAGAGCACACTGGCAGGGAGTGAAATCAGATTTAAAACAGTGGGGTTTAAGGAAGTGCATGCCACTGGACAGCACTAAATGTGGATGGATAAGTACCGTATATGTATGGGAATGCAGAGTCCATTTGTCTCTGTAATAAAATGCGAGCATCTGGTGAGTGTGTTTTGTCTGCACACTGCACTGGGCAATTCCACGCAGCCTACTCACTTTACTCAGACAGGGGAGGTCAAAGGTCAGGGGGTGCAGGCAGCACAGCCTCGTGGCTCTGCATTCAGCCCTATTACTTTGACACAGAGAGCATGACAATACACTCAGCAGGGCAGCAATAGTCTTTTAAAACCACACTAGTGACATTTCAGTCTCCGGGCGTGTGCACAGAAAGCACACTCTGTGATGCTTATGACTATGAGTAAAAACTTTTAAGTTAGTCATTTGTTGGTAACTATTAGTATTTATGTATTTGTGTACTTTTTCTGCTACAGTTATGCTTTAAAAAGTATAATATTGTTATCAAACTGATGTAATATCAGATTTAAAGCAGCAGCTGTTACAAAGAAATGGTGGTGCATGTGGTTCATGTTGTTAAACAGATGTCCACCTTGATTCATGTGAAACATTTTCTCTTTAGGCTGGTAAAGAATTCTGCCACATTCCAGAGTCATGTACATAGTGAAACATTGGCAAAGTGGGTTTATGTTTTCTTTTACTGTTAGTTTTTGTGCTCGATTGCATGCACACTTTATTTTATTAATAACATCTACCTTAACAAGTTAGTTTCTTGGGTTTTACCTCATCTTAATTCATGAAAATGTTTTATGTGTCTAACAAGTAGACTTCATCCTAATTAAAGTATAATATGGTGCTCAAAAGTGGAGGCAGCTTTTCACTGTATAAAGTAATTTAGCTGTGTAAGAGGTGACATCATTTTATTGTTATGCTCACAATAATGCCTGTAATGTTTTATAAAAATGGGTAAAATCCCCATACAAGTAAAACCATTTAGAAATACAGCAATCCCACACTGCCTAAAACTATTATGACAATGAGGTAGGGACATTAGTGGCCTCAGTGGGGCCTGAAAACACCCAGAAACAGAAGCCAGTCAGCACAAACTCTGCCAACTCTGCCATTTTCAGAGCTCTGATTAAACTAAACAACCCAGACAAAAGACTAACACTGCGGCTGGTATGAGATGTTACTGTGGGGCATACTTTAGCTATAGTGTGGGTAACATATGACTATTATAAAACTTGAGCCATATTATAAAGCGATGTAAGTGTGCAGACAAGTCACAATCCTTCAAACACAGGAAATCTTAAAAAAATAAAAGCACAGGGGCAGTCAAAGGACAGAGTGGAAAAGCTGAGCAAAGCTGCAGTATTTTTTTTCTTTCTTTTTACCAAATGCAGGCTCCAGAACAAATCTTTTCATTTTGTCTCATGAACACATGGTTTGGCATTTCCTGTGAAGACTGTGAGGTGGTCAGACACTAAAATGTGCGACTGACAGAATCCTGGAGTGAGGCCCTTTTTGAACACTTTTCCCTTCTATATATGTACTGGATGAGTTGTACTGGCATTGTATTTGAGACACACCACACCTGTGTTCCTTTGCAAAAGCTGGAAAATAACAAAATGGAGGACAGAGATTTCTTTATCCCCAAATGAATCCATGAACAAAAGAAAGTCTACCCTCTGGTCATGGTCTTTACACTGTGAGCACTGCTACACATCTGGCTTCTATTGAGAGGGATTGGGTTGCACCACTGCCCTGTTATGTGTGAATGTTGAACCCACACAAGGCTCACACACACACACACACACACTTTGAGCCCATGTTTCCCTCCCTCTCTTGGTAATGGGCATGGCACACTTTCCCGCTCACAAGGCCGGGCTACATACCAGTTGTTAAAGGGGATCATGTTACAAAGTTACTATCACCACTCTGACACATTCTTCCATGTTAAGTTTTAGAGGGCACAGAATGAAAAGTCAACAACTACTGACAAGCCTACAAATCTTAGCACAAAGTGAAGGGAAAACAGAAATAAAATAGGGTCTAAACAGGGGCTAAACAATGACTATACCTGGTAAAATTCAGGTCTAAAACAGAACCAGTAAACTCATCTAAAAACAAATCAGATATATTTGTTGTCTAAATCGCTATACCCAAACAGTGCAGTTATAAACAAATGCACAATGTAATGCTAGGAGTTGTGGTTGTTATAAAGACCACAAACAAAGGTAATAATAATAAAAAATGTAATGAGTGTGATATATTTGGAACATTTGTGGCTTCAGTATTCCCATAAGCATATTTTCCTGTTTTTATTGTACACTACCCCTCCCACTGAAAGCTATGACTAAGAACTAGCAACCCACAGCCTCTGAGCCATGCAACAGATGGATCAAAGATGAGATCAGCTAAAACAAATTCTATTCCATTCTATTAAATTCTAATGCAGATTTGTATTAGCGTTAATATTTACCTGCTTGTCTTGGTCCTCTCTTCCTCCTGAAGGCAGCTCCGGACTGTAGCGCCTCCAACAGGCCGTCCATGATGCCAGTCTCATCTCCCTCTGTAAGCACAGCACACATGTTATCAATCACAAACACCAAACATCAAATCAATCCAGCGTGGGCATTCGGAGCTCATACATGACGCCAAGCTATTTTTACGACCATGTTATTTTAAATCACAGCTACTTGTATGTGTCACTCTTTCCAGTAAAAAGAAATGAGTAGTTTTGATAAATGTCCCAGGCCTATTCACACATACACACACACCAAAACACACGTGACCAGATGTGTCATTTACTTGCCACGTGGCCTTGTTGGGAAATCTGCTAAATTAACCCAGATAGGCAGTGACCCACTTCTGCTAACATCAGCGCTTAGGGGCAGCTCTCATTCACTTAGCACTGAGGAGGGACACGCCCACTCAACATCTCCAAATGTAAATACTGAATGAGTGTTAGGTGCCCCATAATTGCCAACCAATTACATGCTACAAGAAAGTTACTGCCCTGTCATAGTAAAGTTTGAAATGTGATGAACAAAAATGTGCAGAATTGCAAATAGGAAGCATCACTAAGCCTGAGATGTCTGTGGGAGATTGTGGACCTCCCTGCTACTGCACTGGTACTATTTATTTTACAAAAAGTGTTCAGTCATGGTCCAAACTCAGTTATACTCTTTTCACTGGGTGGCAATCCCTGTTTCAGAGTACTAAAGAATCTATAACCTCATTTTGTTCTATGTGAGTGAAAACAACTTTTTTTTACTGAAAAATATAGTTGACCTGCATTTATATATGAATTGGGGCAAATTGCACATTAAAAGATTTAAACTGTTTGTCAAATACTGCAGTAGAGACAAATTATGTATCACATTTATGAAACATAATAATCATTTTCAGTTTTGTCCTTGCTCTGCCTGATCTCCATTATCATTATTGTCAGTAAACATAAACACACACATATATGATTATTATTTCTTTATGTACTTAGTACTAGGCACACTTTGCAACTTTTCTGGTTGGAGAAAGTTTTACCATGAATGTTCCACAATATGACAAGGTTACAAAGAAAACAGAACAAAACAAAAAACAAAAAAAATCTGCATTGAGGAAAATCACACTCTTTATTTTGTTTATTTAATTATTTTGCATATGCAGTTGTAAATAAGGAGACAGGCTTCAGTCCACACATGTCATGACATGACCACTGCTGTGAGTAAAGGTGTCATGGCAGCTTTGTGGGGTAAGAAAGAGTGTGTTGGCTGAGCTCTGGGGCAGATGGTTTTCATTATTTCTATGTGAACCTGAACACGGACAGAGAAGAGGGGGCAGAGGGCTGGGCTAAAGGTTTATGTTGTCACTGACTAGCCTCCGCAGCAGCATACTCCTCACTAACACAAACACATACCATATATTTAATCCTGAAAGTTAAGCCATGGGGCAGATGGTGTGCGGTCACGCCTCTCACGCCACAGTCTCCACAGAGCGCTCCTAAATCTTTCACAGCTCAAATACGCCTCTCATTGTTCATATCTAGAACTGCACTCTGGCTGCAAATAATGTAGGGCATGTTTTCAGTCCAGAGGAAACACATCTGGCACAGTTCCACAACAACTAATCACATGCTGTGCTTAAACCGCTGGAGTTAGCACAGAAACACAGAAACCCAGTTGTGTTAAAGAGCTGGAGGACATAGAGAGACCCAACAATGACTCCCCTTTGAGTTTCAGGACATATGTGTACATCTAAAATAGCAGCTCTATTCTCTCTATGGTGTGACGAATAGTTATAGTGTGGCTGTTTTGAGTGAAATTTCTTTTAAGGAAATTAAGCTGATCACATGTTGACATTTATAGCAAAGATATAGCCTTAGGGTATACTTGTAAATACCCTGATTGTTAGTGTGAAAAAAAGTCAATATTTTATAAAGTAGTGGGGGAAATTAACTTGTAAATGGATATAACAGTATCTTGTACGGGTCAGAGTATATTCATAATAGCAAGACTATAACTGTGAGCAGCATTTATAGCATCTATATTATCCTACAATTATAAGTAAACCCAAATGTAAATGCTGTTAATGACATTTTAACTTTACATTATTGTGATTCAAAGTTTGTATTTATAGAGCTAGCCATATACTACATTAATAGTAAGCTATTAGATAATGTGAACAAATTATATTCCTATTATACATATACGTATGGGTGTATGTATGTATGTATGTATGTATGTATGTATGTATGTGTGTGTGTGTGTGTGCGTGTGCGTGTGTGTGTACAGTACAAAATGGGGGGAAAAAAAAGTTTTGGGGTGAAAATTATATTTTGTTTACATAATACGCAATTTATTTTTGCTATATATAAATATTTGTTAAGTTCAGTGATTAATGTACAGAAGCAACCACATAAATTTTGAAACTATGTCATGAATACGGGTGGGTTCATACAAGTTTTTCTTCCCACTCCTTTTTGAGAAATGTGCTTTTCTGTTGTTTACAATGTATATGTAGTATACATGATTATTGTTTCTCTCTTGGCACAAACTCAAAATAAAAACAAATCAATCAATCAGTCAATCAATTATTTGTTCATGGTGTTAATTGTGAATGATCGTACTTACAAAAATTTTACAATGTGACATCCTTAAGTGATAAGATAATTTCGCCAGGTTACAAACTTCCTTTAAGACATTGCAGAGTTTAGACTAGAGAATCCAATAAAAAGAGACAGATTAATTAGTGTAAAAGGATTAGGCTAAGAGCATTTAAAGATGTCCGTATTAATCCCATCTAGTATGAAGGCTTGCACTGAGCCCATGTGATCGTCTGTTTACAACACAGCTATAAGAATTAAATTTCATATAGAAATGTACTATATGAAAACAATGCATTGATACGTCATAATGTATAAGTGCAGTATTTTTAACTATTGTAGCTTTAAATCACTGCTGTTATATTTCAAGATCAGCAGTGTTGTGTCCTCAGCCTTTCTCCTCTCCCTCACTCCACTAAGAGCGCACACACACAAACACATTTAAATCCCCCTGAGAGCATCTGCTGCTTGCTCCACATTTCTACCCTCCCCCACAACACTTACCCTACAAACTGAAAAATAGAGCAAGAGCACGCATAGTGGCCATTCCCAGACCAGCAATTCTGCGGCTTGGTCAATCCCACACACACACCCTTTTCCCACAAACAGTACCACCTTACAGCAAATAGCGACACCTAGTTGTAGCATGTGGAAAAGCACTGACTGTGTTGTGTGAGTAAATATTATGTTTGTGAGGCAATGCTCAGATATATTATTATGATAAGCAGTTTTCAGCACATAGGGGATAATTAAAGTGACTCAAAGGCAGCTTGTGACTGTGGGCATGAGGGAGTGGCACTAAACTCAAAATAAACTCTGGAAAAGTTGGACAATAGATGGAGATTTTTAGTAATCAGAACTTTGAATAAAGTATTAAGTATCACATTAACAAAGTTTCTATAGTTGTTCAGTTATAACTACAGTAACTATTATCACACGCCAAGAACATTTATGTGATAAGTGGGGGCAGATGAGGTGAGTGGCTGACTGTTTCACTCACACAGGAATGCCAAGGCCGGGAAACACAAATAACACTAGCCTATATGCTTCAGCACACGTGATGCATTGGTGTAAAAGTAGGCGCAGTAGGACACAACAGATATGCAATGTACTTGTGAATGAGTTGACAAAAACAATAACAGTCAGTCTATAAAGCAGCAGAGACTGTATTCAAAACAGTCTGTGTGTAATGGCTGTGCAATATGGACGTTAAACAAATCCAGAACAAAGAGCAGGCCTGAGTCGGCTGGATTTGTCTATGGGACAATTTAAATGGGGGTTGTCAAATAACCCCAGGCCACAGGCAGTCAAATATGCCACCTGTATGTAAATGTCCTTTAGCTCACAAACGTCTGCAAACATCAAACTTGAACATGAAATCTGACTACCCAATTCACAGTGCTTCAAACTGTTTACTGGGAGTAAAGATTTGAACTTTAAAGTGTTCTTTAAATAAAAGGGGAGAAAAGGAGATGAGGCCAGCTGGAACATGGAGCTCTGGGACAATGGCCAAAGAACTTTGTAAAACTATCACAAGCCAGACACACACTGAAGTCTTTACTCCCAGTTGCCTAAACACACATTGCACAAACTTATTGTGCTCCTAAAGTGACGGAAAAAGGGAACAAAAACTACCCTCTTGGTTTTCCTAACACACATGCAGAGTGCTGAGGTTGTGGCAAATTTGGACTGCGGAGGAGTCCCAAGAGCCCAAGTGGAGCCAGAGAGAGGAGGAATGTATAAAAGTAGGTCAGCGTCGAAGGGGGAAAGTTTCTGTATCTGCGGGCTGCACTGTGAATATGGGGATAAGAGCTTCTCAAAGAGTGACTATAACACTGTTAAACACACTGTGCCACTCTCAGCTTTAGATAGGAACCTAACTTTTGGGAAGATTTAGACTTCCTTTGGCTTCTCCTTCAAAGTCACAAAATCCCTCATGTATTTCTGAAGTGAAAAAGAGGTCAGGCAGTTTGTTGAATCCCTCCACAAAAACTTCATTGTTGTTTCTCTGCTTGAAGCACGGATCATCAACATTTGATTAACTCTGGCTTATAAATCCTGCAAACTTTTTTCTTCATACACGCATTACAAACACACAAATATACTGTAAACTGTGGACTGTGACTGCCCCCAAAAGGACAGAGCTGGGAATGCAAAGAGAGTGTGTGGAGAAACAGGTTGAATGCAGCTGTACTGACCTGCATTGATGTCCAAGACCTGGCTCCTCTTCAGTTTTTCCTCCTTCTCCTTCTCTGCCTTTTCTCTTGCCAACTTGGCTTTCTTAATCTTCTCCTCAGCCTCCTTCCTCTTCTGGTTCTCCTTTACTGCTTGCTGAAAAAATAACATTAAACACAATCAATCAACAGATAAGATATATTTTAACACACACATGAATTTGAGAATATATAAATGATTCTATGATCAACTAGTCAGCAGTGGCTGGCTTAAAGATGCACTATGCAACTTTTCTGATACTCATATCCATGGAAATGTTTTGCCTCGAATGGTCCACAGTAATGAACCTATCTATCTTGCAATTGTTCAAATATTATTTGCTTGAAAAACATGCATTCTTATTTCTGTCACTTTACTGGTCTTAATTTTAACTTGGGCTCTTTATCATCTGCTTGTGGAAAATTCCATAAGAGTAAAGACATCTCCATGGAGACAAGCAAGTAGCAAACTCTCCACCAGCAAAGTTACATAGTGCACATTTAAAGATTAGGGTGACTACCCCAAAATAAATGCAGCGGATTATGAGTGGAATGAGAAGTTCAGAGCATGATTTTTTGCTGTTGTGAGGCCGCAGGTGATGTGTAAAGTAAAAATATGTCAAAGATTATAATACATAATTGTGTCTAAACAAACACAGTTGTACCGTTCATGTTTTTCTCTTTGATCTATTATGTTTGTGCTCTTGCAGCAGCTGCCTCCAGCATTAATCCAGAAATAGCAAGCCTTGCACCTGTACATAATCACTTACTTACCCGGAACATGTTTATGAATGTTTTGAGGTCTCCAAAAAACTCCTCCACTGAGACTTTACTGGGGTCAAAAACAAAGTAGTTGCCCAAGTCTGTGTATTGTTTCTCCATGTTCTTGTGCATCAGGTCCAGTTTCTCATATTGTTCCTGAGCAGTGACGACAAAACTGTGAATCCTATGTGTTAAGGGCCGCACAGTTAATAATATATCTGTACTGAAGCAAAATAAACTATATTACATGAAAATAAAGTAGGTATAGCCTCTTTCATGTAATATTTAAGTGCAGGTTTAGACTTATTGTAAGGTTTAATGAGACTGATGCCAATGTGAAGGATATAGATAAAGTCTCCACAAACTTGTCCTTTTCATTTTGTGGAGGAGGAAATGTTTCCAGGTCTTTCTGAAGGTTTTTGATCTGGCGTCCCATAAGCTCTAGGTTCTTCTGAAGAGTCTCTGCAGATACTGGAGAGGGAAATGGGAAAAGTAGTTTAATAAACAATATTACACACACATAACACAATATTTAGTAATGCAATACAAGACATAGGCCAGAGACTGTAGAGGACCTCGTAATATTAAAAATGCAGTAAAGACTGAAGTCTGTGTAATCTCTCAGTCACCCAGGTAGGTTATGATGCAAAGACAATTGAATTCTCTCAGCTGGAAAAAAGGTTTTAAGAGTGAATATGTTTTGCAACTCACTCTGCTTTATTAGATGTGAAGAAGCTACTTGAATGAGTGGTGAAACATTCACTCTTAAAAATTTTTGTACAGATGAAAGTAGGACAATTTTTTTGGAACAGTCAACTTAGATTGTATTTGTACCTCTGCTGGCCTTCTCCACGTGAATGAGCTCATCAGGAAAACTCATAATATCTGGGTACTGATCTTGACACACTTCAGCCAGGAAATGGAGCAGTGTCATCTTCAGATCTGCAGATTTGGTGTCCCGTAACTAAATAAGAAAGAAGATAATATAGTAATACAGATCAGATGTAACTGCTGTCTTGGATGGCAGCATTTACCTTGCAGAGATACGAAATTGAGAAACCAAATGCTTTGCCATTGCGAGACCCAGCGTTCATGTAGTTGCCCACAAGGAGAATAATCTGCAGTAGTTTGGAGAAGGACTCGCTTTTGGACAGTTCCTCACAGGCTGCGGTCACAGACACCACATCAGGTTTAATGTTGTTGAGCTGCTCCTCAAACTGAAGCTTGAACAAAATAGCCTGGAGTCGTGGCATGAGCTTCTTCACACTGGATATCTGCAAATATGAAGAAAAAAATATCAGTACTTCAGTCTAGTTTTATTTCTAATGCTTCAGTTAAAGAGCATTTATGTGTACATTAGGGCTGCACACTTATCAGCATTACAGTCTCAAAAGATCATAGATTCTTAGTGCCCAGGGGTTAGGATTTAGCATAACGTCTTCTGTGACTGTGGAGCCTTGGTCGAAGTGGCAGATAAGGCTGCAGTGTCTTGGCTTTGGGGAGGATGAGACTGTGGTAGTATCTTATTTGAACAGTTACAATCATGGCATCATAAAGACTATACATGTCCAAAGACTATGAAATTAATTTCTTGTTTAATTTAGCAGTTAATAGTTTAGTCTCCTCTAGAATGTCTACAATGCCTCTGGATGCATTGAAAATGTGCACTTTAAAATGAATCCTTATTTGATAACATAAATTGCACAGCGCACATCATCACAATTATTTTTTTTTCCACTTAAATTATACTGCTTTGGTAAAGACAGGTGTCCAGACTGTGACAGGATGTGTGTCTAGAGTGACTGAAGGGGATTTTGCCCATTAGTCATATCCTCCTCCGGTGAATAAGGCCCTCTGTGCTTTGCAGCCTGACTGTCCCTGTATCTTAACATACTGACACTAGTAAAATGGTGCATCAATTTCCTTTCTGCATCATTTACAATTTCATGTGCCTGATACAATTTGTGATGCTTTGTTTTAGTTAGTCATGTAGGAGTCAGCTGAGAGTTATACTTCTTGTTTACAGCTCTTACATGTAAAGAGAGCCTTTGTTCTTACCACGACTCCGAACTGCTCAGACTCAGCCAAATCATCATATTCGTCCTTCATCTCGCCCAGGACACTGAGCTGCTCTGGGCCTGGGAGCTGCTTGATGAGATTCTATGTGACAGTGAAAGAAGAATATGTACAATATAAATGGATGGTTCAATAAAGTCAAGATGTCCACACTGTAACATTCAAACGAAATGATGTGAAATTGTATTAAATTGGTAATAAACATTGTATTAAAAGGTACCTTATTCGTAAAAATGTGAAAAACAGAACAGATTAATTTAAAGTTTCTGCAGTGGTCCAAACGTATTCCTCTTTGTTAAAGCATCGGGCTTTTCACAACCAGGGCGGAGTTTTGCCCTCACATTAATGCTAACAGTGAACCAACCTTACACCTTGTTCTGGGAATAAAAAAAATTTTCCTAAGAGCTGCCTTCACAAAATATTTGTACTGAGGCAAGGCCAATTTACTTTATTATATGAAAAAAATTATATTATTCAAACTTTCAAAAGAGCAAGGCATGTTAATCAATTATAGTTCTTCTTTATGTGATAAATGAAACAAATCAGTGTTTTATACCTGGACCATGGACTCTGTAAGGATCTTCTCATTAACCTCCAGAATTGCATTTTTGATCTCTTCATATGGAAGACGAAATGATCCCAGAAAGATGGCTGTAAAAGAATTACATTTCTTTTACAGAAGAAGTACATTCAATGAAATACATTTTCGTTAATTTCAAGGATCTATTGTAAAGTCTTAATCTGAGGGGGGGAAAGGTTCTTACAAAGATTCTGTGCAGACTTTCCATCCAGAATCTTTAGCTCCTTAACTTTCTTCTTCTGCATATTCTTCTTGTCATCTCCACCATCCGTCACATTTTTGGCTAAAGATGGAAAGGTAGGAGCAAGAAATGAATGATAAGGAGGAACACATCAACAGCATCAACATTAAAAAAGGATAAAACATGTATTATCATATGCATCTTACATAATGATGATGAATACAATTATAAAATAAACCAAAAGGATGAGGAAGTGGTATTTGTGTGTACACAATGATCCAACTGTACTTAAAAGTAGCATAAATCGTGTGGGTGGACAACACTGTGGTATTGTTTAAGGTCAGACAATGAGGTAAAGGGAAAAGCTCTCCTCACAGCTGCCATATGTTCTTCCACTTGTGTGAGTGAGCCAGCTGCTGCTGCTGTGTAGAAAATGTAAAGATAGAGAGAAGAACTGATTTGAGGCCGGAGAGTCTATTCCCCATCTCTGTCCACTCCTGGTCAAACAGTGCTTTGTTTTAGTGAGAGGGGAATATGTTAACAAGCCAAGTGAGGCCCTTATTTCACCACTTACCCATTCATTCAGAGCACCCACTACACAATCAGCCAGGAATGTCAATAAGCGCCTTTGTGCCACTCAGTATAAAAATCAACTCTTTATTGTCTGCATCTGTAACTCTCCGAGCTTAGAGGTTTGTAAACTTTGATACTAGATAACTTAGGCTGTACTCAGAAGGCAGCTGAAGTTTAAAACCAGATTTTGTTTTATATAGACAGTTTAATAATTGTCTTAATCTTGCTTTTGATTAGCAACTGACCCTGTTATTATCCTCCTGTAGTTAACATTTCTGATCAGTCTTGGTATAGAATAGGTCTGTGCAATACAATATTTAAAATTATTAATAATAATAATAAAAAAAAAAAAAAAGTCAGTTCTGAACTATATGGGTGCTAGTTGCAAGTACAGTCAAAGTTAGTTTTTTGTTTTAATTCTGGTTCAGTTCAAGTTTAATATGAGGTTATTCCACAGGATTATTTTTGAAATTTAAAAACCAGTGTCCTGTTAAAATTTTAGTTATTTTGATATTAGAAGTAAATTCTTTTTAATCAAGTGGAGACATTATGATAGATCACTGACATTATTGTACAGAGTGTTAGAGTCATAATCACAGCTCATTAAAGGGCACATAGGAAAACCAAACAGGAAGTACACCAGCACAAAATCACTATCTGGAACATTTCCGAGGAAACAACATGATCTCTTTCCACAGCATGACACAAGCCCCACGGGAAGCAGCCTAAATTAAAATAAACAAGGGGAAATGGGGGCTGCAGCCAAACTGCAGAGTTTCTGGGGAATAGAAGACTCCCACTGAGAATCAATGAAACAAACAAGAAACAAAATATATCTTGGTGAAATGGTGAGGTGGATATGACTTTAAAAAGGTGTTTGAGTTAATATGCATGCACCAAGTTAGATAAAGTATAGAGGCTACAGAAGCAAGGAGCCTGATCTGCAATCTTAAACCCAGTTAGTGGGACAGCTCAGCTCAGAGCATCGTGTCAGTGGGTCAGCAGGCAGGTCTCTTAACATGGGATTGTGAGTGTGAGCATCTGTGTAACAGTGGCAGCAGAACTCCAGCCAATCAGATTGCTCAAAGGGATGTTGACATCATGGCTGATTCATAAAATGGGGTCTGGTGTACAGATTGTAAAATGGCTGCTCTCTGGTTTCCCACATGCCGGCTCCATCCATTTATGGGCTGATGGCGCCCCTAGTGCTGAATATGTGTATTTGCCCTACTTTGCACTTAGTCATTGTGGGGGAGGAAAAAGGATGACAGAGGCAGATGACACAGGCACAGACAGACATTTTTTTATAAAATAAAGAAAAAAAGGACAAACAACATTTTTATTTATCCAGCTGCACTTTGTCTACTCCTGGACAAAAAAACAGCAGTACTTCTAAAATAATAATCATTATCACTTGTACCAGTACAAACACAGCCTGTTTTACGGGAAGCCCCCCCTCCCCTTTTTGTGCAAGCCAACAGCTGCCTGGCACTGAAAGATGATGAGGCAAGGGGGGGTACATGCGTGTGTGCACGCATGCATGTGTGTGTGAGTGTGTACCTTTGGTGTCATGAAACCAAATTCTTCCATTTCTGACTTCTGTTTTTAATTACAAAAAGGACAGAAGAGGCAGACAGATGAAGGGGGATGGAGAGGGGGAGACTTCACAGACTCATGAGGAGCCAAGTCATGCAGAGGTCTCAGTCAATATGTAACTCAGACTGTGTGAGTGTGCACAAAGAGTGGTCTGTATTGGTCTGAACACCCCCTCCTCTCACACACTCCCCCGCACTCCTCTGCTGTTCTCCATTTCCTTAAAAGGAGAAATAATGTTCACTGGAAAAGGTGATGAGTATCCAGCCTTGAAGCTCCAATGTGAAAAGTTAACAGAGGAGAGAGAAACAAAGAGCAAATGTATAAAGGACATGCACTGTCTACTTTCATTTGTGACCACAACAGACAACACCCTAACTTTTAAAAGAGTCAATAGTATTCTTTGCAGAGAATGCCTGTACTTTTCCTTCACATTGTTACTTTGATGCCCACTTCCTGTCACAGCAGTGGTTTATTTTTAACCCACTAAAAGCTTTCAGATGATGGGCCCCTTTGTATATGTGAAGCAGCACATGTTCAGAGGCCCTCTGTTGGCCAAGTTTGAGAAAAACAAAATAATTTAATAATCTACAAACTTTTCTTCCCCCACATGCAGACAGCATTCCAGAGTGAACAAGATTAAATGGAGCAGTGGAGTTATGGTTTCTACATCAACAGGCTGCAAGTTATGTGGAAAAAGTCAGATATAAACAAATCTTAAGTCCACATGTCATTATGAAGACTACCATAACTCCAGGGAAACTAAACAAAGTCTTGAGAATTTGCAATTAAACAACCATACCTTTTTAATTTTACAGTTAAAGTTAGATAAAGTTGTACAAAAAAAGTAGTGGAAAAGTTTGACAAAGCAGAGCACTCTTTGTCTAGAGGGTACACAATACCCTGACAGACGGCCAGCTGTATCCCAGGTCCTTTTAAACTTTAAATGTCTAGTCTTGTGTCACTCTGTACAGCAGTGTGTATGTGCGTGCGTGCCACAATGTAAGAGTGTTTGACAGAAGGAGAATAAGAGGTTTCCACGGTAACCCCAGGTCTGAAAGAGCCCCTTCATCCTGTTTTTCTCTGTGAAAGGAAACAGGGAGAAAAGATTCCTGGCTGTGTATTGAAAAGGAGCAGATGGCTGGGTGCGGCAGGAGGGAGGGGGGACGGGGCAGGATGTGGGACGGACATAGGCCAGGGGGCGGGTCAATGGGAGGGGCTTGGAGCTTGCTCACATGCGCTCCCCTGGTGCATGAACAGCGCAATTGCAGCCTAATATTTATTTTGGGGAGTTTTAAATAATAAAAGTTTATATGCATTGAGGATAGAAACGACTGTCAGCTGAGAAAAAATAAGCTAAAAAATGTATAGTGTCTGAACTTTAAAATCAAACATAATATGCTTGTTTTCACAATAAAAGTCAGTTTTTAATACAGTATATACATAGCAAGAGAAATTTATGTAATGGTTTGTTGTTATTATTATCTTTTTCTCAATTTTAAATCAAGAATATTTTATTTGATTAATTCTGAACTATTATTGGTCATGATAATTTTTTTTTTTTTTTGTATAGTTTGAAAAGTAACATTTAAATATACCATGGAGATATAATTTAGACATTAGTGCATTCATTTATTTGTGCTTAGGCAAATGGAGTATATGCAATTTAATTTTTTTATAGAGAATGTGCATTAAATGGTATATGTTTTTTACAGCAAAAACTGACAGCACGATGTTTGTCTTTAAAAAAAGTTCCTAGAGTGTTTAATTCTTCAAGAAAACAAAATCATTGAAGTTAAATTTTAAGTGTGTTATCATATAATGTCTTTATAAAAATTTATGTAAAGTTATTACTGCATTAGTCAGCTTATTCAATTAATTTTGTATGTTTTACATGTACTTGTTGACACTACAGGAGGCATAATGTGCGGAGCCGCAGACGGCGAGGTTGCATTCATACATGGAGTCACATTGCCCTCTAGTGGCGAAGTTGTGAATGACAGTCAGTGATTGTCATTAACCTCAAGTATCTTGCTCATTATTCTGCATTTCTTTTGCTGTTTAAGAAGAAGACGGGTATCTGTAATGGCATAGGGCAGAAATAAATTTGAAAAAGTAGTAAGAGGTTTGGGGAGAGCTGGAGTTTTAAGTGTGCATGGGAGAGTGCTTGTGTGTTTCTCTCAGGGCCAATTTGACCTCTCTCTGCTCTTCTGGCCATGAAGGTCTTCAGCAATGACGCACACACGGCACGTAGCAGCCTCCCTGATTAGACCGCGCACACTCATACACACATACAGGAGGATGCTGGCTGCATTGCTGATAAGGTTGCACTACAGTCAGGGCACCGACACAGCACTACCTTGAACTCAAATTCGCACTTTCTGAAATCCCACAAACAACCCCATAAATCCCTATAGCAAATAACACACAGGACATAGGCAAGCCCGCGCCCGCAAGCACAGCACAACAACAAGAGTAGAAGAGGTGAGCCAGGGATGGTGTGCTTATTAAATCAGTCCCATATCAGCCAGTCTCCTTGGGACAGAAGAAAAGATTTACTACAGCAATTACACGGGCTAATTACAAGGAGGGGAGATAGGAGGGATTGAGAAAAAACGTACAGGGAATAAAGCAAATCAAATCAAAAGAAGAGACAACAAATAAAAGGTAGCAAACTGTGACGATGACAGCCAATAAAAGAGCACGAAGGTGAGGAAAAGAACTTTATGACCTTGAGACAAAGGGCACGGAGGATGATTGATGAATGAAACAAAAAGAGGCCTTATACAAAAGTTCAGTGATTAAACCAGGGCTATGAGTCAGGCAAGCTGTGAATATGTGTTTATTATTCTAACTGTGAGTGTCCTTGACATACACTAGGACTTTAGTGTGCCCTCTAGAGGGAGGATAGTGAATTACAAGCTCAACAATGTCAT